TCCAACCGCACCCACAACGCGCAAACAATGCACGTCGCGGAAGTCGGTGTGCTGGCATGCGCAACACGTGGCCCAACCATCGGAGCTTGGTGGGTGGCATAATGGTTCTGATCGGTTCACTCGCTCTTCCTGCACCAAATGCGCGACACCGAACAAGCTCATTGCTCACGCGGTGCTCACACCAGACATAAGCTAAGCTGCGAAGGCAGCGATGATCGAATATGACGAGCCTCTTCATGTCTGTCGACCTGATGGGCCAAGATTCACTATCATATAGGAGAGTTCAGCGGACGGCTGCGTTATAAACTCTGCCCTTCAGGAGAAGAGTAATGTCGCGTCTGCGCCACATGTGGCGGAGATTGGCAAAAGCACCTCGAGCTTTTGCTATACGGTTCATAACCTAATCTTCAATCCCACGGGTGCTAATATAGCTGCCCAGGTACTTGAATTCCTGAACAAGTTCTAGCAGATCACCACAAAGCGTTAGCGCAGGGTTGGGTCCCTGCCAATCTTGGAGAAGTACTTTGCATGTCGATGGAGCAAAGCATAGCCCAAAACGATTGACAGCCAGTGCTAATCGGTCCATTGCTGCTTGGCATGTTTGGGAGCTGTCACAGATTAGGGCAATATGGTCCGCATACTCTAAGTCAAGAAGTCGCTCACCAGGAAGTAGTTCCACACCTTCTAGGTCGTGTCCAGCGAACGCTGTTTCCATGACTTCATCAATAGCGAAGTTAAAGAGGAAAGGTGACACCGCTGGTGATACTGAAGGGTGGCGAGAATTTGCCATAAACCCTCACCCTGCCCGAACTGTGCGAGTACAGCGGTTTGATAATGTTTACATATTTATCAGGCACACCTTTCTTCAGCAGACAGTCCCAAAGGGCACGTCGATCGACTGAGTCGAAGGCACCTTTTATGTCAAGAAACACGACAACGGTGGGTCGCCAACAAACATGGCGGTGCTCCAACACTCGACGCAATGTGAAGATGTGGTCGATGCAGCCCCGACCTCGACGAAATCCGGCTTGCTCTTCACGAATCTGGTTTTCACGAGTGCCAGTCAGTCTGTAGAGAATGACAGAGGCAAGCAATTTAGAGGCAATCGAAATCAGACTGATCCCTATATGATTGTCGCATTCCAAACAGGAGTTTCCCTTGAAAATTGGGACAATGACAAGGCGGCTCTAGTCGGTTGGGGCAGTCTCCTGCTTCCAAACTTTCACTAGCAACTCGTGTAAATCATCTATTAGAGCAGGTCCCCGAATTTAAAGAGGGCTTGGGAAATTATATCTGCCCCTGCGGCCTTATGCAATTTCAACAGCCCGATCTCACGTTCGACTTCTGCGCGTGAAGGCGGATCCAAGGAGACGGCCCAGGGAGAAGGGCGCTCAATGCCCGACAAAGAAAGCAATAATTCAGGTTGGTAAAATTGTCTTGTAAAGCGTTCAGCCCAACGCTCCAAGCGTTTTGACAGGCTGTGGATCGGCTGCCCACTCTCGTCGCGTATGGTCTCGCTAACACCAGGTCTCCTGTTGCCTGTTTCCCGTATCAGACGGAATAACTTACGATGATTACCAACGGTAGCGGCTGTTTCCATCTCAGAGGCACGATGAGACCACAGGTTTCGCGGTCCTTATTTAGGCTAGCACATAGTGTTGCCCTGAGATTTTGGTGAGCCTCATTGTATTCGCTTCCAGCCAGAATACGTCGGCGAGCATCCATAAGTGCCAGAGACTGTGTAGAGACCCAATGTCCGGTTTGGCAATTTGCTTTGCCACATGAAGACATGCCTGCTAACAGTAACGTTTGACGAATATGCGACCAGTGATCTACGACGGTGTTTAGTGGGTGCTTACTCAGCCCGGATGTCTGTGCATTTGGTTACACTTCAGAACATCTGGCTTCGCCAGCTGGCTGGTGTCAATCCGTTCACATCAATGTTACAGACGTCTACCGAAATGCACCCAGAGGTGGGCGCAGAAAAATGCGTGGTCAGAGTCCATGCTCGTGCTCCAAATCGAGCGACAGTTTTGGACACAGCTTTTCCAGTGGTAACTCATCGCGATATGATCGATTTGCGTCCATGGCTAGCCCGAGGCTGGTGGCCGCCAAGTCACGCTTCTGCGGGTGCTGTGTCGAAAGTTAGTGCTCGCCAGAAGAAGACGTGCATCTTCACACAGCTGTAGAAATCGCTCACCGTTATCATTACGGGAGCCTACACCATGCTGGCCGCCCAGATGAAGCTCATCAGAGGACAATTTTCCGACTTGCGCGTTTAGATCGCCAGCCAACACCACAGTATCCGTGCTTCTTCTGTAACGAAGGAGCTCGTGAAGTTGCTGATAGAAATCATCTTTTACCGAATCCGTGTTACAGTTTGTAAGGGCATAGGCCGCAATGACAAACAGGCACCGTTTGTCCCCGTGTGACTTCGTAGCACGGAACAAACCAGCTAATCTAACGGCACACATCCTACTGTTTACTGGGATCCAATCGATCAGGGTAGCTTCAGCCCAGGGACTCAAAACAATGCCGACCCCGGCTTGAACGGCATTTGAAGCTGCATCATCGCTAAACAGGCGCAGTGAGAATGTGTCGCCAGTGTCGCATGTGGGGGATCGCAGGGTAACCACGGAGCTCGAATCTTGCAGGCGGGTTTTTGATAAACAGCAAATATCGATCGACAGGGTCTCTAGTGTGCGAGCAAGTGCTGCCTGTTGGCCAATCTGTAGCAAAGTGCGCACGTTGAGGCATGCCAGTCTCAGCGAGACGCGAGGACTCCAAAGGGAAACGGATGAACTGACGTTGTCCGCTTGGTTGAACATGGACTTGTCGACTGGATTGGAGCGACGCCTTGCGATTGTGTGTGATTTGAAACAAGAAGACAATCGACTATTGAAGTGAGCTGGGGGAGGGCCAAGAATTTTGGGATTGAAAATGAGGGGATAAAAGTAAAGTTAGAGCGGGACGATAAGGATGAAGAAGCGCAAGAAGGGGTATAAGACGGGAAGGCCTGAGCAGTAGCATCCATACCCCTATCCAGCCTTCTCCATGCAGCAGATAGGGCGCCGTTTATTATCCTCTGCGACGGCCAGTGCATCAAGAAATTGTTGTAGGAGATGTTCATTGTACTGTGTGGACAGAATACTGTCAGGTTGCCAAGGTCTAGACAGGAGAACGATTAGGGTTCTCAATCAAAGCCTTTGGTTCAAAAAAGCTTACCGCAAGGCAGAGGGTTTTGGCACTGGATTACAGAGAGCCCGTTTTATGAAATAAGGTGCCAACCCACATTCCAACCCCAAACCTGGAGGACCAGGAGGCTGAGTTTGTCTGGCCTCTAATCATTGACCAATCTGGTATAAGTGGCTCTGATGGTGCATAAAAAGCACTACCGAGCATAGCTCAATGGATTTCTGAGGCACGCAAACTATCGCACCACGGTGAGGCCCAGCCTCATTGCGATGGACACCCTCTGCAATGAAGAACGTATCCGTTTTATTACTTATGTGCGAGGCGTAACATCTAAACGGGTAGAGAAGAAACGATGCAAAATGCAGAAAATGTTAAGCGAAACAAAATGTCAAACCAAGTCTCCATCAGTTCCAGAACAATACGTGCACAATCTTTCCAGTGTTCATTTAGACAGATTACGGCTGCAAGCACTTTCATTCGGTCTAATATTTAGCTATCCGTAAAAGAAATACGATCGTGTTGAAATAGAAACACAGTTTGAATACCTAATAAAGCAGACGAGCGACTTGGTGGCCAACTCTGATATGGAACTTCAACAGTTCCAGTCAACTTTGGTCAACATTTCTTTTCAATAGTAAAGACAACTAATTGAACACTATCGACTACTGACAAAAGCACACATTGATGCTGTGAGCGTACTTGAGAAAAAAAGAGGATCTTATCATAACCAAACCAGACAAAGTATCTGGGACTGTGCTGATGGATCGTGCTGAGTACATAAAGAAAATGAAAATGACACACTCAGATACTTCACGTTTCGTGAAATGTGAACAACAGAAAGATAAAACAGAATGCGTAGAAAATCAATTGGTCAGATGTTTGAAATCAATAGTGAGCGACGGCGCCATCACCAAAGAAACGTACGACTGACTTCGTCCCATAGGCTCCACCACTCCTCGCCTTTAAGGACTCCCAAAAACACATAAACCTGACACACCATTGAGACCCATACTAGATATGAGGGATTCGCCGTATCACAACTTTGCGCAACGGCTGACGAAAATGCTGAATCCCGTCAGGTAAATGATTGCTACTCATAGACTGGCAGATACATTCCAGTTCGTCAACGAACTTCGAGATATAAATGTCCAAGAGTATCGGATGTTTTCCTTGGACGTTGTTTCATTGTTTACCAACGTGCCTCTGAGAGAAACACTTAACTACCTGTGCTCGTACATTGACCAGCATGGTATAAACATCGGTATACGTACCAACCAACTGAAACAACTGATACTAAGATGAACCGACGGATCAATCCAAATAAAAGTATACAGGAAACCATGTTGGACGGGACAACACATGAACTTTCATAGTTTCGCCCCACTCAGCCAAAAAAGAACGCTGGTGCGAACACTAACCGATCGGGCATACAAAATCTGCAGCGAAGACACCATAAAAGCCGAACTCGTACGAATCAAAGAAACGCTTCTCGAAAGTGGATATCCGGAGCGATTTATCGAGACCCATATGAGGCGATGCATACCAAAAGTACCGAAACAAATAGTTGAAAAGAAAAAGCTTTACCTGACTCTTCCATTCAAAGGAAATAGTGCAGCTGAGACATGCACGTGTCGACTACAGCAAAGCTGCAAAAGGACCTTTAATGCGGCTCAGATAAATGTGGTTTTAACGAGCAGACCTTCACTAGTTCCGGGATTCAAAGACCGAGTGCCTGATCATCTCCAATCAATGTTAATCTACCGGTTCACCTGCCCGTGCAGGGCCAGGTACATTGAACGGACGACCAGGCATTTAGGTAAGAGAATTAAGGAACACCTCCTACGTTGGCTCTACAATCGCGAGAATAGGACAAACTACAGCGCGATTAGGAACCATTTAATCAACACAGGCTACCAGAGAAACAAACAAACATTCAGATTCTCTACAGAATACCATCAAGACATAACCATCGTGTAAGAGCAAGCCTACTTGCCACCGCTGAGGCAGTATACATACGCCTGTCAAACCCGGACTTGTGTATCCAGAAGATGATTCAAACACTACAACTTCCGTGGCCGACTACCAGACGGGAACTGGTGGTACACCGCAACTCCACTCCACTTCAGTCATGTGATCAGATGACTGCCACCGTGATCACAAGTTAAAATTTCTGAACAATGGTTTATTTGTTATACTGATGATTGTAACAGACCTTACCCTAATGTATATTATTGCATGAGCCTGACGAAGAATTAATCGAAAACAATTGTTCACTTAACTTTTAGTGTTTCGTCTCTCTTTCTGAAACGGGAATACTATACAAGTAGGGCGCTGTATGTATTGGGAGATCTTAGTAGCAGTGGCTGCGTCGGATCCCACTCATCCGCTGGTGTGACAGAGTATCTGTCACTGAAATGATCCGCTGGAGCCAAATGTATGGACCGGATCGCATAGTGTTGTTGGGTTTTCTGAAGAAGTATAGAAATGCCCGCCTTACGGATGAGACTAGAACCGCAAAACATCTGCTACATTGTAGCGAGGACGAGGCGACAGAAGTGCACATTCCTTAGTGCCGACGAAAATCGGGGTACTAGGTTAGCACACGCGCGCACATGTGTAGTGGACATTTCCATCCCACGACGCATCATACATTGTTCGCTCGCTCGTCGTCGCATCGACGTCTCGCTCGGGTCCAGTCGGCTAGTTCTTTCTCGACGAACTGCTCTCGTATCTTCGCTACCGCCCGTCGTATTCTGACCGGACTGGATTCGTTCTGATACCCTTGATTTGTTCAATCAGGGTTGTACTGCTCAAACTGAGATTATTCCTGTAAGCGTAAGCAAAAGAGTATCTCTCCGGAAAATAGGACTCTTCACCTCCACGTTCCCCTTCTTCTATGCGTGGTGTCGAGATCGTTCGACACTTGTTAACCATTACAGGATCATTCCGTAGGCCTCGAGCTGCTTTACTGACTTATGCCCTCGGTGCCAGCATTAGTTTCCCTCTACGTTAGTTTATCTGGCTTGTCATTTCGCCCGTGATTTTTGCTTTCCGCGTCACTACAATATGGCCGACTTGGTACAAGTAAACTAAGTGTAAGGAAATCAGAGCGGTGGTTTGAGATCACGGTCAGGTTGAGTGCTTCACGAACTAATGCTGATTTTGGCTAAAGGGTAAGGATGATAGTAGATCGCCGCAAATGACGCGCTATCATAGTAACATTGACGAAGCTAGGGTTTACGATGAAGTACCGCTACATGAGGAAAAGGGGCACCGGTTAGGCATTGTATCGGCGGCGATGGAGACCAGTCCATCAACATCATGTACTTTGTGCTATAGTACAAGTGCTCGTGTGTGTCACTGCTAAGCCAAAATAGTAAATCACAAACTTAACGGCCAGATGTCAGTAACGAAGACGCGACGGGAAATTTGAATTGCAAGCATCAGCGCACATTTAGTACGCTGCTTCCAGTTTCATTCACTAGCCCAGACAAATAATACGGCAAATGTGAAAAGTCTGCTGGATCGTCGCTGCAGTTGGTTTGCACATGTACTTGGGCGGTTATGTTGTTGCATGTTTGGTAGCGTTTGCCAATTGACATCCCAGGTCTGATTGTGCTTGATGCGAACGTTGACAAGGTGACTGCCTGTTGAAAAGCAACCATGCGACTATTGGCTCCAGGAAACTGTTGCAAATTATTTGGGGAGACGAGGTATGCAGTCTTCGTAACAGTGTTAGTCTCAAATAGTAGTTTCACCCGGTATAGAACTTGCGACTGGCCTAGCATGCATGCTTCCACCTACCGAAATGGAGGAGTATGCTGAAGAGTTGTGAGCCCGCTCCATACCAATCTTAGCTCCCATGTCTTCCTACTTCTGATTTAGACTGTACATGGGGTGCTTGAATAGAGCTGGACGTGGTGTAAACCATGCGCTCATAGTCCCTATGTAACTACGAATTCTTGTGGCTGTACGCAGTCTCAGTGACAAGTAACTCTGTAAACGGATGCCACCGACAATATGCTATTCTAGTAGGATTTCTTGCTCTAGGCCAACACATCCTATATATTTGGGAACGAGAAATCTGAGTAATTGCAGAGAGCCGCACACTCCCTGATTTTACATAAGTATCGCTAAGGCGGCACTCAAACACACTTCACCGCATGTGGTTAATGGATTAAAAGATTTCAGTTGAGTTGGAGTACTAGCCACTTACAGGATCGGAAAATGCACTTGGTGGAAGATAATTACGTCAACCAATGTCAAATTGCAAGCAGGAAAAGATACCTTGAAACTCGCTACTTTTTCACTTTCTCTACTCAATAAGAAAGCCATTGCAACTCCGTTTACCGTTCAAAAAGTTGAACACGCCTTGCCTGTCCTTCCGCCCGTGGTCACTTTAGATGTTTATAGAGCAAGTTCGCTTCTTGAAGTCAAATTACGTGCTTTGTTTGATAGTCGCGATTGACAGTATACAGTGGTCAAATATGAGAGTGTTTTATTACCGAATGAGGTAAACCCTTGTTTTTATGTTTGAAACCAATATGCAGTTGTCCGCTACTTCAGTCAGTTAAACAAGCTAAAACAACGTTGACACATCTTGACTAACTGACGGAGAGATCAGTGCCTGAATCTAACTCGATGCTACGGCTCATATGATAGACGTTAAGAAAGCTATATGTAGTACATCGACTCTTCGTACTATTACACTGTCACCGCTCAACCGCAGGATACTGTGCGTGTTGAGATACGGCGGGAGTGCTTAAATCCATGCATTAACAGGGATTCAAATTTGGTGTGCAGATATTGGATGTCAAATTTCTGGGCCAATGAACCACGGATACGTTGTCGTTGATAAAGAGGCTCGGAGTTGTGTTTTTAAACCGTCTCTGACTCGAAATAAGGTTACATACAGACCGGAGAATCGAACTGTGCAACGTAAACCTCAGAATACGGTACTCACTTGTTGCTGGGTTCAGAACTATCCCCGAAACGCTGTTTAGCTACACAACCGTGTCCTGTGGAAAGTGGTAAACATTGCTTGAATGTAGAGAGTGCACTACTTTGATGACAGTATATATAATATCACCAATGTTTATAGCGCAATTGGAGAATATTGAGGCTTCTTTAACGGACTACCATTACAGTATGTTTAGCAACTGTTTTGTGATTGCAGCCTGCAATGGCAACATCAATGTGCAGATTTAAAATTAAAATACTCGAAGTTACTGACTTAAATAAATCTACACCTGGTGGCTTATTAAACTCTAACAAAAGTGTAGCATTTGCATATGCCTGCACGGGAAAAGCATGACTGTAGAGTTGGGTTGGTTGCCGAGCAACCTTCTCGAAATGTAAATGAAGGTCCGAAGGTATCCGAAGCCAGTAACTAATTAAGTGATAGTGTTTCAGGATGTGGTGAATTTTCGGATTAATTGAAACCAAACGATCTTCGAAAATACCTGCTGGGTGTTGCGTGCTAACCGCACATGCGTGCACTCTTGCATTTTTCGCCGCTACTATTCCGCATTTTGTCGCACACCACTGGATCAAGACTTGTGCCTCATGAGTTGACTGGCTCTGCTCCGTGATACCATTTTTCGATAGCACTCGCAGTACACTCCACCTTTAACCGGTACTGTTAACTCT